AGCCGAAGTTGGTAGCCCGAGGTCTGAAGGGCCAAAGCTCAACCCGGCCTAATGGTTAGGCTCACTCCAAGGTTGGGCAGGGCTTGGGCTTAAGATTTGGTTAGGCTCATATAGCTATAATACTTATATTTTCTATTTCGGCCCCCCCAACTTTACAATTTTAGCTCCACCCCTGAGCTCGCCCACAGCCTCTCCCAACTAGGCCTATCCTAGGACTGTCTGCCTATGCCCTTTAAAAAAATAAAAAAAATAAAAAGGTTTTAAGATTAAATTGATGCACTCCCTAACCTTTTTTTGTTTTTTGTAATATGCAGTGGGCATTGGTTAAGATTCAATAAGCATGATATCTTCAACAAGAAGCTCATAATGCTGCTTGACAACCTCTCGATTTTTTTGCCAACCTCCTTGACAACATTATCCCAGCGGTAGGCAGTGTTCTTATCGAACACAGGTAGAGAGTTTTCAAAATCTTTGTTTTGCTTGATAGTCCAAGAGGCCAAAGCCAATTGAGGAAACTCTAATTGATGCGTTATAACCACATTCTCATATAGGGATCATCATTTGGCACGTGGCTTGCGGGTTTAAGTGAGTAGGCTGAGGTCGGATAAGCCAAAGCCCAGTACGACATTATGGTTAAGCTCGCTCTAAGGTTACGTAAGGTTTGGGCATAACACTTGAAACCCTTGATCAGACCATGCCTCGGACCAACGCGACAAAGTCTTGTTTGGCCCGATTAGGCCCGAATAGGCCCAACTTAGTCGGGCCTAAGCTTGCTTGCCCAAGCCTTTTTTTCTTTTTTTTTTAAACAAAAAACATAAAAAAACTTAATTGATGCAGTCCCTAACCAAATTTTTTTCTATAATGAGAGATGAGCACTTGACAAGACTCAATAAGCATGATATCTTCAACAAGAAGCTTATAATGCTTCTTGACTTTCTTTGGATTTTTCCGCCAACCGCATTGACAACATTATCCCAGCGGTTAGCAATGTCTATGTCAAACAAAGCCCAAGCATTTTCAAAATTTTTGTTTTGCTTGGAAGTCCAAGAGGAGCTAGAGATAGTTGAGGACATTCGGCTTGATGCAATTGAAAATGGTATTATGTGGAGGAGGATGAAGGTCTAAAGTGAAAATGGTGGTGAGAAACAAATAGGAAATGTTAGGAAAAAAATTTATACTCTTGGCCCGAAAACGGTCTAGCCCGACTAGGCCCAACTCGTCCTAAGACCGCTTGCCTATGCCCTTTTTCAAAGATTTAATTAATGCACTCCCTAACTTTAATTTTTTCTGTAATCCGGGAAGGACACTTTTCCAAGCGCAATGAGCATGATATCTTCAACAAGAAGCTCATAATGCTTCTTGCCTTCCTCTACATTTTTTCGCCAACCGCCTTGACAACATTATCCTAGCAGTTGGTAGTGTCCTTGTAAAGTATAGCCAATACGTTTTCAAAAGTACTATGAAGCAGTGAGAAACAAATAGGAAAACTTTTTACGCCTACCTAAAAGTACCATGAAACAATGGTTTCCTTGAAGTTGTGAATAAACCCTAATGTATAAGCAACACAATTTGCATTAATGACATGATAAGAAGGTCATAATATTTCTTGACTTCCTCTATTGGTTTTTGCCAACCGACTTGGCAACATTATCCCAACAGTTGGCAGTGTCCTTGTCAAATACAGCCAGAGCGTTTTCAAAAGCTTTGTTTTGCTTGGTAGTCCAAGAGCCCAAAGCCAATTGAGGAAATTTTGATTGATGTGTTACAAGCACATTCTCATGTAGGGATCATAATTTTTCTTGTGGCCTGCAGGCTTAAGTAGGTAGGCTAAGGTCCAATAGGCCAAAGCCCAGCATGGCCCGATAATTAGGCTCGTAATTTCCTTCTTTTTTTTTTCTTTTTTTTTTTTGTAGGAGACTTGTTGATGTACTCTTGATACAAGCAATTTTAGGGAGCGAGAAATCGAACTTAAAAACATGGTGGAGGAATACATACTCTGCTAGAAATAGTTATCCAAAGTGCAATACAACTAACCAACAAGTCATCGATTTAGGGATATCTCTTTTATCAACATCAAGACAGATCACACACAGATCCTTGGTGATTTATAAATGGTAGAAATAGAGAGACGAACCAAACATACAGAAAATATTGACTAACTTAATAAGAAATACAGCTCAAACTTATTCTAGAAAACAAGAGCAACAAAATTTATCTTTTCTCATGATCATGATTGGGAACTTGTAGAATCATCAACAGGATGATGGTATCTGTTGAAAAACCACATAGAATCGGCTTTCACTGCAACTCCATCGTCGTTCCGGTGCCAACTGTAGAAGGCATGAGTTCGGTTCTTGATGTCGAAAATGGCATGACCAAAACTGGCCTCTCTATAAGCTGAGTAATCTGGCTGTGGCTCCCTCATACTGCACAAGAAAACAAAAAACATTCATAGATTAAAGTATGCAATGCTAACAAATAGGAAAGCATTCACCCTAAAAGATCATGTACTTACTTGGTTGCCAAGCCTTCAATATTTCCTCCATCTCCAATGGTAATGTACACCGGCGCAGATTGATCTTTCACCACTGGAGAGCACTTTCCATTTTCGATGTTATAGGCTATATTCGATACACGTTCCTGTGATACACACAAATTGCTTATCAGAAAAAGGAAGATGAATACAGTTTTCTTGATATCAGCATTTCAGTCAAACACTTCTCCTCAAAAGGGTTTCATGTACTAATTTGTCAAACATTAAAGCGTTCCATAAAGGGATTGATCTGTTTCAAAAAAGTTTATTTTGAGCACTTACAGATCGTTCGTAGGCATGGACATGACCTGCAAAGACTACGTCAACCTTGTGCTGCACGAACCACAACTCAAACATGACTCTCATGCTCTCTCCTTCCATGTAATGATAGTTGTAGCTGTTGTACCATGGGGAATGCAGTAAGACAATCAACCATGATGTCTCACTCCTGTTAACTTTTGGTAGCTCCTGCTCAAGCCATTGGTACTGAGGAGTGTATTTACCTTGAGAACAAGGAAATGATATGTTAAATGAGACTGTTGCAGCAGCCAATTTAACAAAGACATTAATGCACTGAAGTTTTCACTAACAAGTTAGAATTGATTGGATGTTACATGGACAGAAGAAGTTTCAACTCAGTTTTCAGGATAACTTGGAAGCAAAAAGTCTCCAATCATTTAAAACAAAGTCATTAGAAAATATGATAAGGATATCATTTCCATATAATGTGAAAGTAATTTATATGATGTAATAATCTGCAGAGATGAACAAAGTTTGATTTACAGTATAACAATCTCTCACATGCCATGAAAGCAACAACTAAGTATTTCAAATTGAGGGGGAAAAAAGCATAAACATGAGTTGATTTAACAAATGCAGCAAGTATCTAGGTATGTCATAGCCAAATTACATCACAGACATCAATTTTAACAAATTTGCAGATGCCAAGGTAACATATTAGACAGTCCGAAAAGAACATGTTTTACACTCCTAGAATTTTCATATCGTATACTGCATATATGTGTGGGTGCCTTGAGAGCCAGTCATGTAAATACAGTAGGGAAAAAAAAAGTACCATAAGCTGTATATGAAGACAAGACTATGATGTATGCTGAAGCTCTCTTGATTGAGTAAAAAAATGGGGCAGGGCTCCCTGATGCTTTGTGTGGGACATTATACCGGTGAGTGTATGGCTTGAAAGGTTTGTATTCACCCTGCAACAAAAAGTACCAATCTTCTCTTAGAAAACAATTTTCCAATGACATTTTGGAACTAGAATTCACCTCTCTAGATATAGAAAATGAGAGCTTAAGATTAGCTATGAAATGCTTACAATTTCTGGTGCATAATCAATCTCATGGTTCCCTGCAGTCCAAATCCAAGGTTGATAAGCAGCACTTCTCTCAATGAATCTTCCAAATGTATCCCACTTAACATTGTCATGATTGGGATGATTATCTGCATAAGAGAGGTCTCCAAGGTTCAAAACTGTTTGTCCTTTAAGTGGGTTTTCTTCATAGTGAGTAAGTGTCGAGTTTGAATCAAAGGTTTGGCCCAAATCCCCTGCAAATGAAAGACAAATGGTAAGACAAAGGGTAAGTCAAATTTACAAGTAGTCAAATAGCCAATTTGCCTTGTAAATGAATCAAAAGCATGAAATTAGTTTTGGATCACAATGCTAAAAGTTAACCATTCTGTTTTGGTTATTAAATAAATAAATAACTTACCCATGAGACCAAATGTATAAGTGACATCTGGCCCAACTTCAGGAGGAGTTACAAACCAGAACAGCCTCTCAGTGTGCCCAATTCCAACCACATAGTAATATTTGGTATTGTACTGCCCAAAATTATATATTATTAGTTCATAATTTCAGTCAGCAAATTATTTATTGAACAAAAAGAACAAAGAAAAAGAGGAGAAACAGAAAGGCAGATTGAAATTTACCTCTAAGTTTCTGATGGTACAGTGGTGAATGTAACCAGAAGTGTAATCATGGTATGTATAGGTTTTAGCTTTGCCTTCAGCCATCCTTTTCTTTTGACCTTCACTCCAGAAAAGCACTTTGCTGGAGCCTTTTTCATCCACAGTGACCCATGACACAATCATGGCCTTTCCCTTGTGGTCTCCTTGTGTTATATGAACCTTGGATCAAGAACACACACACATATCATACAATTAAACAAAATTAAGCTAAAAAATCATACCAATTAATCAATTCCATCAAGAAGAAAAGCAAAAGTGTGAAGCAAGCCATAAATCTTGGAAAACAAGACCACATAAAATATGAAGGTTCAAGTAAATAAGAGGTCTCTCTCCTATACAACATTTATTGATCACATGTCTCGTACTCGTATAGGCCGGATTCGATGATATCATCAGATAATGTGGTACAAATAAGTCACATCATTAAGCTACAACTGACTAGAGATGAGAGGGAGATGGGGGAGATATATACTTGTTGAGGTGCATTATAGCCATGAGGGACTTGAAAGGCGTCACTTTCATAAGGCATATCAACCGTCTTCTCAGCTTTCCTCACAAAAGGGCTTGTTATTCCTCCATTGCAAACCACAGCCAAGTTCAAAACCAAACCCAAAACTACAAAACTAGATACCCTTGAATAAGTAGAAACAGACGCTAAGCTCACCACACCCATCTTGATCATATTATTACTCGAGGCACCTCAAACCCTACACAAATTCCATTGCGCTCAGCAAAATCATGCTCTTTTTATAGACACACAAAAATTAATTTAATTTAAATAAATAAAATCTAAAGTTTATCAGGAAATATGGGGAATATAATTCAGAGCTGTATAGGAATATGCACGTTTCTAAGGCTAAAGGGATTTGGATTTGCATGGTTTTCTATTTATTTTTAACATGTGTACTTATTCTTCTGGGAATTTTAGTCGGGTTGTGTTTCTTTTGGGATCGGAAATAGTGATTGTATACAGTTGGCCTTGGGAGTTCCGAGTGAATGAAACGTATCTATTCTTGGATTGGAGCAATCAAAATATAACGACAGCTGGTTTACCATAGGCGAGGTGTTTGGCTTGAGATTTGATTGAACAAAAAGAAAAAAGTCGGAATCTGTTGTGAACCTGGATGTAATGGATGCCTACCATGCATGACTCACACCATGACTCATCATTGTAATTATACAATATTAGTAAATAGTGTAATCCATATGCCTATAAATACAAGGCATCAACTATGAATGAAGAACAAGAATAGAAAAGATGAAGCTCACGGTGGAGGGAGCTCTTGATAATCATTGTTTCCTTCCTCTAAATTCTCTCCAAATTTTTCCGTTATCAGAAGGAATATCTCTCCAATACCAACTGAGTTTTTCGATCAAACCCCTCTGCTTCATTACCCTTCTATCTCAAGCTTTAGTTGCTACCTCTGCAACTATAAATATCTTCTCTAAAACATATCTACAGACATACCAGAGAAGAAAGGGTTAAAAGAAAATAAACTAACCAAACCAAAAAAACAAGAGAGCTTGGAGAGCGGAGAAAAAGTTGTTGTTTGGGGATGGAGTGGTGCAAGGTCCGACGAGTATTTGGCTCTATAGAAGGCTACTGCACAAAACAACTAAAAGGATTTGTTGGTAACTATTTAAGAGATATGGCAGGTGAAAAACAATATTGTGTGGGGGACAAACGTGATATTCTCTAGCAGACTAGCACTAAGAAAGAACCCACCGAAGGGTGTTAAAGCTGCAGAAAGTCATACTTGTATATATTAATATACGTGCACATATCTTTCTTTATGCTTTTATTAATAATTCATGAAAAGTCATTGCACCAATTGATCATGAAAGGTCATGGCTACAATCATCATGAAATGGCAGAAACAAGAAATAGATTATCAGGGATGCCTGTGAACTCGCAGCCCATTTATGATCAATAGCACCCGAATATCTTGATCATCAATATATATAATGAAGGGCCAGAAGTCCCTAAATTCATGTACATCTAAAAAAGGTCAGAAGATCCTTTTATATTAAGTGGCGGTTTTATCCCCACATTTATTTATTTTTATTTAAATTATGGAGTAGAATTAGTACTCATACAATCACATTTATTTTGCCGTATATTTACTTTATTATTTAAACTATGGTGCGGAATTAACGTCTATATATCAAGCAATTTACTTTATGAATTTATTTTATCGCACATTTACCTTTATTTAAAGTATGGCGCATATTTATCGTTCATACCAGCAATATTTATTTTGAGAATTTGTTTTATAAGTTCATTATGATGAATTGTATACCGTGCAAGAAATAGGTTCCGTGACCATCATCATACAACTACATGAGGACCAAAAGATCCTTAATGATGAAATAATATAAGAGCTGGCAGTCTCTCCAAAACTATATTTGTGAAAAAGTGATCGGACGTGAAGATCTTGTTGGCGAGTCCTTACTTAGTTAGGATTTTGGTTCATTATTTCATTAGAATTTTGGTTACTTACCAATTATTATTTAGTCCTATTGTAATAGAGATTTACTTCCTATTGTAATTTAGATATATTTCCTATTTTATTTGGTTAACACATCTTTATGTATAAATACCTCCATATTGGAGAAGAATAATAATATGAGCGTATCTTAGCATAACTGAATATTTGCCCTACTTTCTTTGACATGGTATAAGAGCCTAGGTTTTCTTGTGACCTATGTTTGTGGTCTCCTTGAGAGTCGTTGCTAATCCTTATGATAACCTTTGCCAAATTGAGAGTCGTTGGCACTCCTCATTCCTAACCCATCACGAGTCTTCACCTTGCTGTAAATCCCCGTTTCCCCTTTCCTTAATAATCAACATATATTTCTTCTGCCTTAGCCATACCTGCACCTTTCTGCAATTTTACCCTTGTCTCTGTCCTTACCGTGTTTATGTTGAGTCATTACCTGTCTTTTCTCTACCTATGTTTGCTGCTGTTTTTTTTTTCTCTTACTCTTCATCTCTCTATGAGCTTGCTTTCTGTTAAAATCAGATTGAGCCCATGTTAGTTTCAGTCTCTTACGCTCACAGCCGAGCCTATCTTTTAAATGTATACCATATGGGCAACACGCCTCTTGCCCATTGATTGCCTGATCTCTTTCCTCCGTGAGCCTCGTCACCACTCACCGAGCCATCTCAAACCTCCGCGAGCCTCGTCACTGCTCGCTGAGCCTTCTCCTAGCTGGCCTTTGTCTCTCTCTGTCCTGCCGAGCTACACTGCCATTGTTCCCTTTGCACAACCGCTCTAGTCCTCTCTCTCTGTGCACGCCCATATGGCCCTTTTTCCCATTTGATAATGTGTTTCACTTCCTGCCTAGAAACATTTGTGTTTTCTTACTCTCTATTTATTTGGGTGTTACTTTCTCCAAATCTCGACTCTTATACATCGTCAGATTTGAGGGGGAGTGACACTGTTGCTCATCTATTCCGCTGCAATTCAGCTACCTATCTGCCATGGCTGATTCTTCTACATCTGAGCATCAATCCACTTCTGTTTCTTAAGTGCCACTTTTCTTATGGTTCCGACGACCTCTTCTCTTCAGGGGGAGAGAGGGAGTGAAGAGAAGTTGTCTCTGTTGTTGCTGCTGCCACAGTTGTTTGCCTAGGGGGAGTGAAGAGAAGTTGTGTATGTTGTTGCTGCTTCCACAATTGTTTGCCCTGCCTTGTCTTGCTGGTGCCAGTGCCTTATATTTCTCTTGCTGGTGCCAGTGCCTTGGTTGCTCTTGCTGCTGTCAGTTTTGTTGTCTCTTGCTGGGGACATTGTTGTTGTTGCTTCTACCATGTTCGTGCCTTTGCTGGTGTGTTTTTCCTCTGCAATCATGACCATTGACCTTGCCTTACCCTATTTTTTAGGGTTTGGTTTCTGCCTATCTACTGTCGTGCTCACAGGGCTTCTGTGTTCTGCCTTTATCTACTGCTGTGCTCACAGAGCTTCTGTGTTCTGCCTTTATCTACTGTTGTACTCACAAGGCTTTTGTGTTCTGCCTTTATCTACTGTCGTGCTCATAGGTTTCTGTGTTCTGCCTTACCTACTGCCGTGCTCACAGGTTTCTATGTTCTGCCTTATCTATTGTCGTGCTCACAGGGTTTCTGTATTTTGCCTTACCTACTGTCGTGCTCACAGAGTTTCTGTGTTCTGCCTTACCTATTGCCATGCTCACAGAGTTTCTGTGTTCTACTATGTGCCCTATTTTTTAGGGTTTGCTCTTGTGTTTCTGCTGCGAACTTTGCTTTAGTTTGTCACTTGTTTCACTCGTGGTTGACGAAAAGACCTTCTCTACAATTGGTGCTTCTCAAGTATGGTGTTTTGTGACTCGCTTGTCAAGTTGGGTGTGCAAAATATCTTTGCCCAACTTGAGGAGGAGTGTTGGCGAGTCCTGACTTAGTTAGGATTTTAGTTCCTTATTTCATTAGAATTTTGATTACTTACCAATTATTATTTAGTCCTATTGTAATAGAGATTTACATCCTATTGTAATTTAGATATATTTCCTATTTTATTTAGGGTTAGCACATCTTTGTACTTGTATAAATACCTCCATATTAGAGAAGAATAATAATATGAGCATATCTTAGCATAACTGAATATTTGCCATACTTTGTTTGACAGATCCTTCACATGTAAACCAAGACCTGAAGCTCTTTGATAATATAACAGTGTCCTACACATGAATAGTAAATATACTTGCAAATACATGAATAGTAACCATTTTGGATGAACCGTTACTATATACAAAAGGAGACATGTAGTTCCTTAAACTCACAAAAGAACAATTAAATGAAAAACTAGAAGTTTCAACTATTTATTTTACATCAGTTTAATTATTGTCCTACTTTTATTATTGTATTTTATTTATATGTATGGATCAGAAATTCAAAATATGACATGAAGTTCAAACATCTCAGGTATGATGTTTAATTATGCGCAATCCAAAACCATAAGTTTTGAGTACATTTACATAAATGTAAATCTCTGGAGTTCAAAGCACAACTACTAATTCATTATTGAATTCACATGTTTGAACCTGAAGCTTCGAATATATGAAACTAATAAATTTTCATAAATATCATGAACCTGAAGTTCATTGGTTATGAGTGCTTATTTGGAATTTAATTCATGGAACATGAAGTTCTATTTTTATGAGATAAATTTGCAAGAACCTGAAGTTCTGTAGACAAACATACAAAGTGTTTACATAGAATTGGAAGTTCTATATTTTTTATATCACGATTAAGAAATTATAAGATCAAGTTTACAAAGAACCTGAAGTTTCTTGGTCACTCATATTATTTCAAAAATGAACCAGAAGTTCATATGATTTAAAGATTTAGTGGATGCTATGTTCATATTATTATGGAGAATTGGAACTTGCAATTCTATATTACAAAGGAGAAAAATTAGATAACCAAGATTGCAGCAAATGTTTACTGCCTCAGAATTTAGGCATCTACAGGAGAATTTTTGTGCTCCGCATGTGTATTTTCTGAACCTGCAACACAGAAACAAGTTCCTCCAAATCTTTATTTCTTTTGTCAAGTCTTCTGATTTTTTGATCAGCATCGCTGAGCATCCTCCGCGGTGTTATGACTTGCGATCTAAGTGCTTGAACTTCTTGGGATCTGGCCAGCAGCGGTTGTCCCAAATTGGTAATTGATGCAGCATACTACAAGCTAGCAACCAGAGAGTCATTGACAACACCACTGTCTGATCTCACTGCTAACAATATTTGCTCATGGGGAGCAATATTCAAATCCAAACGCACTCAAGGCAAAAGGGATGGGAAGACATTTTTGGACAAAAGGGTGGAAACGAACCCCTTAAGTACGTAATGGCAGAAAGTAAGGAATTTGCTCTACTGAGATAAATGAACCGTGCATTGTAAGCATCATATATATTAAGAGGTAAACACATGACAACCATCCTTATTATTCGAATTCTTGTTCCACAAAATCTATTCTTTCCACTCAAGCTTGTCGACCTCGTTCAGGTAATCGATCTGACCTTTGAGATATTTTTGTTTATGAAAAGATTCACTTCTTATCGTTTTACTCTTTACTGAATTTACGGATTGTCTTATTGAGAATTTTGTCAAAAGTAATCTAACGGATTTGAGACTAACATGTGGTTTATATTGAAGCCATTTGTTTTCTATGTTCTTATTTTTGCTATATATATATATTCCCTACTCTTGGACAGTTTTATAATACTCTTGTCGTTGCTTTCCAAACAAAGGATGAGAAACCTACTTGAATTCTCTTGACGGCACTTGGCGTGCTTAGAAATCCTGAAGATTTTCATGGAAGGAAGATTATCTTTGATCAAGACCTTTAGAACCAAGATTATCTTTGATCATGATCCACTACTTTGTTAGGGTAGTCGTTTGATCATGGATCAGCCTCGTTCACTGAGCTTCTGGGTCAGTTTATGGTAGAAGAGAGGTATTAGAGATCCATATGCTTCATGGATCAGAATATGGAACATGGTATGTTCTGATCTAAACATATTAATTCTCTTCATCTCTTCACTTGGCCTTACAGTTTTAAGGTAGTTGGAAGTTTATGCAATATATTGTCTTGTTTATTTTAAATGCATTTTTATCCCTAAAGGACAATACTGATGACACACTTGGTATCATTTTGATGAGACAAAATTCCCTTCATTAGGTGGAGATTTGGTTGTTCCTAAAAGAACAAAGAACGACGTGAATAATTATGCTTATTATTGTCTCATCAAACAAATTTGTATAAAAGATAAATGCCAGAAGCATATTTAGACAAAAAAAGATTGTAAGTCAAATATCATAAGCATATCAAATGCCATAAGCATATACATACACACAGTAATTGACTACTAATAAGTAATATGTTGATGCCTGAAGCATGATAGATAAAGATGTTGGATGCTTGAAGCATGACATATCTATAGGTTCCAAACTCC